ACTTGTTTTTTTTTTTTTTCAAATATCAGGAATAATATGTAAATCAATAGACCTCTGAAAAATGTCTGTCCATGCAGGGGCTAATTCCTCTGCAAAGGTTTTCAAGATAAAAGCAGAAAAATGATCCGGCCCAGTTGACTTTTTATTATCAAGGGGCCCTATTTTAACGATCTAAGCGCATGACCCTTTGAGCAACTCCAAAAAGTCACGCGCACTGCGCATTTGCGCTTAGGGCGTGTCCTAATCCACTTTTGCTAGTTTAAGGACAGGAAAAATGGTCGGCACGCCTGGCACATGGTCTAAAACGGTTGTCCATATTCTCTTAATGAGTAATGGGTGTGTTTTGGGTGTAACGTGCCATAAACCAATCAGAGTCTCATCTCCCATTCCCTTTAAAAGCCAGTTGCGCTTGCGCCATGGCGGATTCGCTATTTACATGGTGGAATTTACAAGCGGAAAAACTGAGCGCTTCTCTAGTGAGGGAACAGATCTGCTCGTGCGCGTAATTCTGATACATGAAAAGACTATACATTATGACATGTAGGCATTTTTATATTTATGTACACAATAATAATCTTTTACATTTTAATCCTTTAATTTTTCATTTTTAAAAATGTTTGTGTCCTGCTGCAATGTGTGTAATAAGCAAAGTGTACGTGCGTTGTGCACCCGCCTATGGCGCATATTACTAACGCGCCCTTTAAATAACAAAAAAAATAAATAAATATTGCGCCAGACTTTAGACCAGGTTTTTGTTGGTCAATGTCGCAAATGCATTTGCTATTTAAACAACGTGGCACAGGACGTGAAAATGACAACTGCGTCGGGCTGAAACTAGCAAAAAACATTTGCGACGCGCCTGGCGACGCATTGCGCCGGGTGTATGATAGGGTCCAATATCTTTAAAAACTTTAACAACATTAAACTCATTTGAGGATTAGAAACAGAATCGTCAATCCCAATAGCCCCCAAAACATCGCTACAGTCATGAAAAGTAACATTAAACCTACAATAAAAATTATTAAGCTCATTTGCCAGTGTCCCCTCATTTACAACTTGCATATTTATCTTTTTAGGTGTTATATTATTTATGCACCTTACCTTAGACCACAACTTTTTTGGGGGATTTTTACTCGGATCACTATCCATTAAATGACTGTAATTCTTACGAGTTTCTCTGATTTTTTGATTAAGCATTTTCTGATCCAGCTTTAAACACAGAATTTGACGTATGCAGACCTGATTTCATTATGCCTGTCAATATCAGGATCATAAAGCACCTCACAGTCAGTACAGAGAAAACAGCCTTTCAATATCTTCACTTTTTCTCACCACCTTGGTTAGTTATTTCAGTTATTTCTTGTCATTTCAAGTTAAAACGTAAAAAAAATAATATGTAAAAAGTGTAAAAAAAATAATTGTAAGCATTTGATTCACAAAATGATGCTTTGACGTTGTCTGGCATTTTCAGATTGCTTAAAATGTTTGAGATCAGAAATGTGGAATTGCTATTATTGTGGAAATAGTCATATTTCAGAAAAGAATGAAGAACAAAAGGTAGACATTGTTCATAGACAATACAATACATTTGAAGGACATTTCTGGAAAGTCACATGACAATGCCTCTAATATGTTTGGATGATGATTAATTTGTTTCGCTGTACATACAACTCCATTATGCAGAAATATAATGAAACTTGAGAGGAGTATTGACTGAAATTGGAAAGGGTCAGTTACAAATGGAGAAGTGTGTCTCTGGCTGGAACAAAAAAAGTTTTTTTTTTTCTTCTTTCCTTGCATTTCTAAGAAGTGTGGTATTCTAGACACAAACTATGCTGGTGAAAGAAAGGCCTCTTCTTCTCCTGTGTAAATCTTTAAAACAGCTTTATGGTGTGTATGACGACGAGACATCTCTCTGTCATGTGTCAGATCCTGGCGTGCAAATGTCAAAGGCTCCAGGTAGATTGTTATGCAGCTTCTGCTTCTTTATGCTTTGCTTTCAACACATGTCCAAGACAGCTGGAGAGAATAACAAGTCTGCTGAAACTACAGAAAGAACGAGAGAGAAAGACAGGATTGGGTCGTCTAGGGAGTCCAGCAGGGCAGTGCAGAAAGAATCCTTTCTCTCCCACTGGAGTTACACACAATAGAAGCTGCATGTGAGTGTGTTTGTGGTGAAATGTGTTGTATGTAGATGTATTTGTCAGTAACTCAAGCCAGAAGTGCTGTCCTAACATGACTTTCATTTAAATTTTCAGAAAAATCTGCTTGGATAGATACCCATGAGATTTGAAATGCAAATCAGTGCACGAGGAGCTTTATCAAGTGTGTGTTGTTTTGTGCTTGTAAATCTGATCTATACACCAAAACAACTGATTAATCATCAGATTAGCACATGTGTAAAGGGTGTGTGATGTGGTGAAATATGTGCTGTTCAACCAAACTTCAATTTCAATTTATTCCTTTTTTTCTTTCTTTTCCCTCTTTCGAAATAGCTAAATGAACACATGGATGCATTATGTTCAGGTGGGATGTTCTGCGGTTTGATGTGGAGATTACAGATTTCATGCATGTGTCGCCATCACTCAACTCCACTGGATCATGGGAAATGTAGTTTGTGAGCTCCACAATGCCATATGAAAAGCATGTGTTGTTTGCTGTTTGCTGGCTGAAAGAACATTAGCTGTCAGTGAATTAGTATTTCATCATCTCTCTCATTCTGTGGTCTCTTGGTTTCATCATTCAACCACATTGATGTTTTCCAGTAGTTCTTTAGTTGGTACAGTATGTCAGCTATGGTATGTCTAATGGGTTTATATTTATGTTCTTCTAGTTTTACACAAACAGCCAAGAGAGGTTTGTCTATGTCTGCTGGAGCTGGGAAGAATAGCATCCAGGTAAATTTTATTCAATTCAATTCAAGTTTTTTGTATAGTGCTTTTCACAATGCATATTGTTGTAAAGCAGCTTCACAGAAATGCCTTGTTTCAATGTTGTGATCACAATGTTTTTTTTTTTTATTATCTATTCTATTATATAAATAATGTAAAATATAAAATAATAGTAGCCAACATAATACATAAGTATATAGTCTATGTACTTTACATAATATAGTTTCAGGTCTCTGGTACCCAGTCTCTTTCATCTAACACACTTAAATACTTAAATGAGTATTTCATGTCCATACATATTTATTTATTTTTGATTGAAGATAAAACAGCATAGGTACAGAATAGGATTAAGGGATCTAAAATATGGTCATGAATAAGGCATTAATATGTGGTAGTAATATGCATGCGTAATAATAGTGAGAATTGTTCTTTAAAATAAAGTGTTGTCATTTATTGAACGAGCACTGTGCTATGTCCGAACTGATTGCACTGTTATTTTATGTATAATAATTTTCTATTTTTAACTTTTTTAAATTCATTTTAAAAGTTTATTGTTGTGATTTATTTTTTATGATTATTTTACTTTCTTTTATGTAAAGCACTTTGAATTACCATTGTGTATGAAATGTGCTATATAAATAAACTTGCCTTATTTTATATTTTACATTATTTATATAATAGAATAGATAATAAAAAAAAAAAACATTGTGATCACAACATTGAAACAAGGCATTTCTGTGAAGCTGCTTTACAACAATATGCATTGTGAAAAGCACTATACAAAAAACTTGAATTGAATTGAATAAAATTTACCTGGATGCTATTCTTCCCAGCTCCAGCAGACATAGACAAACCTCTCTTGGCTGTTTGTGTAAAACTAGAAGAACATAAATATAAACCCATTAGACATACCATAGCTGACATACTGTACCAACTAAAGAACTACTGGAAAACATCAATGTGGTTGAATGATGAAACCAAGAGACCACAGAATGAGAGAGATGATGAAATACTAATTCACTGACAGCTAATGTTCTTTCAGCGTGTTTTCAGCAAACAACACATGCTTTTCATATGGCATTGTGGAGCTCACAAACTACATTTCCCATGATCCAGTGGAGTTGAGTGATGGCGACACAACAAAACATGCATGAAATCTGTAATCTCCACATCAAACCGCAGAACATCCCACCTGAACATAACGCATCCATGTGTTCATTTAGCTATTTCGAAAGAGGGAAAAGAAAGAAAAAAAGGAATAAATTGAAATTGAAGTTTGGTTGAACAGCACATATTTCACCACATCACACACCCTTTACACATGTGCTAATCTGATGATTAATCAGTTGTTTTGTGCTTGTAAATCTGATCTATACACCAAAACAACTGATTAATCATCAGATTAGCACATGTGTAAAGGGTGTGTGATGTGGTGAAATATGTGCTGTTCAACCAAACTTCAATTTCAATTTATTCCTTTTTTTCTTTCTTTTCCCTCTTTCGAAATAGCTAAATGAACACATGGATGCGTTATGTTCAGGTGGGATGTTCTGCGGTTTGATGTGGAGATTACAGATTTCATGCATGTTTTGTTGTGTCGCCATCACTCAACTCCACTGGATCATGGGAAATGTAGTTTGTGAGCTCCACAATGCCATATGAAAAGCATGTGTTGTTTGCTGAAAACACGCTGAAAGAACATTAGCTGTCAGTGAATTAGTATTTCATCATCTCTCTCATTCTGTGGTCTCTTGGTTTCATCATTCAACCACATTGATGTTTTCCAGTAGTTCTTTAGTTGGTACAGTATGTCAGCTATGGTATGTCTAATGGGTTTATATTTATGTTCTTCTAGTTTTACACAAACAGCCAAGAGAGGTTTGTCTATGTCTGCTGGAGCTGGGAAGAATAGCATCCAGGTAAATTTTATTCAATTCAATTCAAGTTTTTTTGTATAGTGCTTTTCACAATGCATATTGTTGTAAAGCAGCTTCACAGAAATGCCTTGTTTCAATGTTGTGATCACAATGTTTTTTTTTTTTATTATCTATTCTATTATATAAATAATGTAAAATATAAAATAATAGTAGCCAACATAATACATAAGTATATAGTCTATGTACTTTACATAATATAGTTTCAGGTCTCTGGTACCCAGTCTCTTTCATCTAACACACTTAAATACTTAAATGAGTATTTCATGTCCATACATATTTATTTATTTTTGATTGAAGATAAAACAGCATAGGTACAGAATAGGATTAAGGGATCTAAAATATGGTCATGAATAAGGCATTAATATGTGGTAGTAATATGCATGCGTAATAATAGTGAGAATTGTTCTTTAAAATAAAGTGTTGTCATTTATTGAACGAGCACTGTGCTATGTCCGAACTGATTGCACTGTTATTTTATGTATAATAATTTTCTATTTTTAACTTTTTTAAATTCATTTTAAAAGTTTATTGTTGTGATTTATTTTTTATGATTATTTTACTTTCTTTTATGTAAAGCACTTTGAATTACCATTGTGTATGAAATGTGCTATATAAATAAACTTGCCTTGCCTTACCATATACAGTATATAATATAATAGAAAATATATAATATAATAGAAAAATCTGTGTATATGTAATCCCTCTCCCCCGGGTCCTCACCTCCACACCTCGTTCTCGTTCCGAGTGGGTCTCGAACCTGGGTCTCCGGCATGGGAGGCGGGCGCACTAACAAGGAGGCTAAAGACTGCAGCCTGTAGCGTCAGTCGCTAGTGCGTCTCTTGAGATCAGGGGAGTGAGGTTTACCTGCACAGCACCTACCCGCTGGCCTCCGTTACACTCACCCCCCTCACCACTCGCTCCCATCCGGGTCACGGCACCAATGTAACCCCTCTCCCCTGGGTCCCCACCTCCACACCTCGTTCTCGTTCCGAGTGGGTCTCGAAGGGAGGCGGGCGCACTAACAAGGAGGCTAAAAACTGCAGTCTCTAGCATCAGTCGCTAGTGCATCTAGAGTGAGGTTTACCTGCACAGCACCTACCCGCTGGCCTCCGTTACATATTTTGTCTCTGCTAGTCCAAGTAGGCACGGTTATTGGTTATTGGCTAAAGTCATAGTCTCAAAATGGCGAAGTAATGGCAAATTAATTCGCAAAAGCGACAAATCTACATAGATTTTTGCCTGATAATTTCAAAATTTAGTGTAAATGTGGTTAACTTGCTTGTCTGTTTTTATAATGATAAATTAGAGTTTATTTTAAAACAGCATCTTGTTGTGAATGGTCACTGTTGTGCCAGGTATAAGGTCGAGCCACCTGGACTTATAAAACTGGAGAAAGAGATCGAACAGGAAGAGAAGACACCTGAACCTCCGCTCTCACCTGTACCTCCCACTTCCAATTCTCAATCTCCATCTGTTTCTCCATCCGTCTCTCCATTCAACAAGACCAACTCCAGCAAAAAAAGCACCGGCAAGCTACTTGATGAGGCTGTGCGTAACATTTCCTTTCTCACATATCACTATTGTTATCGGTAACACTGTAACTTTTAGACTGACAGATGTTTCTTTCCTTTACAATGAGAATTTAACGTTTTAATTGAACATGTAACATGTGTTCCAGGTGAAGCACATTTCTGAAGATCCACCCTGTAAGTGCCCAAATAAGTTCTGCATAGAACGACAATCACAGGGCCGTTACCGTGTTGGAGAGAAAATGCTTTTCATTAGAGTGAGTATAAAACAACAGTAGTCAGGGTAGATGCCATATTTACAACCCAGGCTCAATGGAAACACATAACTCTGCCTACATGTCTCAAAACAAGGTTCCTCTACATACATTTCATATCTTTTCTGACATAGTAAACTTGCTCAGTAGCTCACCCGGTCGAGCACTGCCTTTGCGATGCAGAGCAGCTCAGGTGTGAATCTGGTGAAATACGAGTAACAATGCTCCTCCATAGAGCTCATAAAAGGAAGCTAAAATGCAGTGATTGCTACAGCAAATGTATTTTTATCGCATTTGCTTTTTCTCGCACTATCGGTTAGGTTTAGTGTACAGTAGGTGGTAAACTAATTTCAAATGCAATAGAGCGTTGACCTGTTAGTGCCACTTACCGGACATCTACCATGATACGTACAACAACCAATGTAACAATACTGTGTTTAACTGTGTAACTGTTTTGGAGAAAACACAGTATTTAGCGCCAGTCATTGGACTTTTTTTTTTTTCACTTTTAAACTGTCATGAATTACAAGCAACACAATATCATTGTGTAACCATTTGCACCCACAGGCACATTTGGTTTTCATGACGTATCACCTTAAAAGTGCAGCTAAATGTACCTACAGCAACATATACTTTTTTCAGAACGTGGCCGATACCGATACTTTTGTTTTTGGTACTTGCCGATACAGAGTACCGATACCTGTATTTACATTGCTTTTGTAATTTTTTTAAATACTGGGTACAGAAACCAAAAGAATATGAATAATGTTAGTTGGCTTAGTTCATAGCAAATAGATATTTACTTTATTATTATTTTCACACTTAATTATGCCCATTAAAATGTATTGTACAAGGAGCAGGAGACATACATAAATCTTGTAACAACGATGAATATATTTTCTGAAATGTTTTTTATTGTCTGAAACGTGCTGCGACATATTCAACTCATAAAGTGACTCATGTAATGCAATTAACGTCAACAAGCAAAACATGCGCAATGTGTGCACACATTTGTATTGGTGCGGAATGAGAGAGACATGTACAGGCTGCTAGTTTCACTGTAGCTTTAAATAAAGTTGTGTATGCTTGACGTTTAATATAAATGTTGTTTATAGTGAACGCCCCTATAAATAGTTTTATATTTACGATTTACTTTTAATCCAAATGATGCGTGTGCTAAGTAAGCGAACAGCAATCATGATCATGCAACTGAAGTGCTCTCTCTCTCTTTCTCTCTCCTTACCGTCAAGTAACTTAAGTAATTGTTTTACTTGCTTTTGACATATCCAAACAAACAACAATCTTTCCAGTCATGTCTGTGAGAAAGGGATATTCACTCGACAAGCTCGCGCACTCAATCCACTCTGCATACTTTGCTTATAAACACATCAGATATACAGGTGTGAATATTGAATGTTTAACATTAAATTAATTACACACATGTACTTTTTAGACATCCTTAATCTCTAATAATTCCATTCTACTCTCTGTTTGTTCTGTTGTCATGTTTCATTGTCTGGAAATAGCACTTTTCACATGCTGTGTGGTATCGGCTTTTGGTATCGGGGCATTTTAACGAGTATGAGTACAGGAGCGCAGTATCGGGCCCGATACTGATACCAGTATCGGTATCGGTGCATTCTTAATTTCCAGTGAGCCTGGGTTGCACATTTATGTAGCATGTTAGATACAGTATATGCAACTATGTCACATTTGGCCAAAGAATGTATTTTATAACAGTAATTTCTAATGCAACATCCTAAATTAAATGGAACCTCATGTGACTCAACTGAAACGCTCTTCATAGGCAACAAATATGCACACCACAAAAATAGTGCCCTTCACAAGTGATTCCAGTTAACATGTTGCTAAATGCATGCTGCCTTAATTGTGCACACAGTGCTGCTAACTTTGTGTCAGGCAGCACCTATGATCCCTTAACATGATTTCTAGATAGGCAGGTGAACCTTTATTATCTACTGCTGTGTGATCACGTTCATTATTGTGTTAAACATGCACACAAACACAGCAGTGGGGCATCCCATAACAGCACAGACTGACACTAACTGACAAAGACTGATTAGTGAGATGGGCCTGGTCACCATGGAAACCGGTTACTTGGCAACACATGACTAAAAGATGCTTTAGATCTGAGTTATCCTCATCGTGTATCTGCGTTCAGTTGTGTTTTATTACCCTGAGCTGTGCAGTAATACACTGATAACAGCTCTCTTGAGGGATCACATCACTCCCATCATTCATAGCTCATTAGAAACACTGGTTAATGAGTGTTCTCACCCAATAAAAAAAAGAGATGAAGACTGGATTTGTGGCTGGGTCTTAGAAACACCTAGTTGGCTGGTAAATCTTTAATGAAATTATTTTCTTTTTTTTCTTTTCTTTCTTTTTATTTTTTATTAAAAGGGGAAAAATTCATGTTAATAATTCTGACATCTCTGCTTATAACACAGCTCACCACAATATGTTTTTTTTGTATAATGATGTGCTGGTGTCTAGTTAAGTTAGCTTATCTAGAGATGAAAAAAAATTCTACTGGAAGGGAAATGAATGGAAAAATCGGCCATCAATACGATGGCTATAAAGATAAAAATTCCCACACTACAGTCAATCGCTGTACATTAACTAGACCAACATGACCCTTTTTTTTCTATTAACAGTTTGTGTCAGTCTGAACTGATGCATTAAAGGAATAGTTCACCCAAAAATGTTAATTTAATGAAAATGTACTCACCCTCAGGCCATCTAAGATTAGGATGAGTTTGTTTCTTCATCAAAATATATTTGAAAAATGTAGCATTGCATCACTTGCTCAGCAATGGATGCTCTGCAGTGAATGGGTGCCGTCAGAGTCCAAACAGCTGATAAAATAATATCACAATAATCCATACGACTCCAATTAATGTCTTGTGATGTAAAAAGCTGTTTTTCACTTCAAAATCAACCCCCATATTTGTTTAGAGCTGTTTTTGCTTGTAAACTGTGTTTGATCTGTGCAGATTTCTCTCCTGATTCAGACAAGACTATTTTTTTTTTCACTGAGGGAAGCAATGTTATAGATAGACGACTCATATTTTAGCAGAAAGCAACAGTTTGGAACATCTTAATGGTGGATGTTTTTTTTTTTACAAACACAGCTCTTCGCTTCACAAGACATTAACTGATGAACTGGAGTGGTGTGGATTACTTGTGGATTATTGTGAGGTTTTTATCAGCTGTTTGGACTCTCATCCTGACGTCACCCATTCATTGCAGAGCATCCATTGCCGAGCAAGTGATGCAATGCTACATTTCTCCAAATCTGATGAAGAAACAAACTCATCTACATCTTGGATGGCCTGAGTAAATGTTTAAAATGTTTCAGTTGTTATTGCTGATTTGAAATGACATTGAAATTACATTTGAAATGACAGAATTACTTGTGGATTATTGTGGGGTTTTTATCAGCTGTTTGGACTCTCATCCTGACGTCACCCATTCATTGCAGAGCATCCATTGCCGAGCAAGTGATGCAATGCTACATTTCTCCAAATCTGATGAAGAAACAAACTCATCTACATCTTGGATGGCCTGAGTAAATGTTTAAAATGTTTCAGTTGTTATTGCTGATTTGAAATGACATTGAAATTACATTTGAAATGACAGAATTGCCCTGTCCACTGTTTGACATTCATAGTAGACAAATGAAATATGCTCTCGCTTTCGCTCTCTCTTCTTCGATCAACTTTAGCTGTCTAGACCTCATAATTACACAATTAATATTATTCCTCTTTTTCAAGTTTAGATGTCAGAGCTCGGCTTTCATTTAAAACACTGACTGCAGCGATTCATCATGTTAAACCACTGCAGCTGATATTAATTCAGTCGCCTGAGGAGAATCACATTAGTCAGTGCTGGTTTTAATTGCTCTCTGGCTGAGAAATGAAGCAGGCTGCGTCACTGCTGCCCCCTATAGAGGGAAACTAACACATTGTTTCAGCACCCATACCAAAGACTTCAAAAATTAAAAATTAAAATTAAACTAACTTGTGTTTTTAAATCAAATTAGGCAGACATCAACATGTGCAAGTTACATGACACCCTTTTTCTCAAAAACAATGAACAAAACTACACAAAGTAAAGATATCAGACCACATTAAATACAGGGTGTGCCAACCGCAATGTGTTTTGTGAATTATTGGCTGCTGAGAGCATGAAAAATTCAAGAGACATTGATATTCAACTGACCAAACACTCAAACTCTGTCACACTTCTGCTGTTTATGCAGTTCTGGGTTATATATAAAAAACATTTAAAATACATTTTTGTTCACTTTTGAAAGATAATTTTGCATAGTTTGGTTGCCTCTGTAAAATCTGGACCAGTTAAGAATCACAGCCGTAGTGTATCAACGATACCATATTTTAAACCATGGTACAATGCGTTTACTGGAGATAAATGTAATTGGTTACCAAATGTTTATTTAAAGAAACAGAGATCCTGTTTTTCCGCTCTATCCATCTTATGACTTAAATTACTAAAATCCTTTTCTTAGCGTATTTTTTGAAAGAACGAATCCTTAAAACGTGTTGCCCAGCAACCAAGGCCATGCAAGTCAAGCAAATCTTCTGTTGTCTCATGTTCGTTTTCCAGTGAAATGAGCGAATGCATTTTTTCTCAAGGACACATTCCTTTTGTGTTTGTCTTTGAAAGACCTTCCTGCTGAAATACCCCTCAGATTCCCCAGATGGTTTAGTAGAGAGTTATCAGAAAGCCGTGTTTTCATTTCGTTCTCATTTAAATACACTGTGTGTTTCAGTGTGTCGTTTGGCCCGTTGAACTTTGGTGCTCCTGAAAGAAACTGATTGTGTGTGTTCCATATTAAGAGAGCTAACCTTCAACATCCCAGACCTGAGCTGCTTTATATAACATGTGTGTGTCTACGGTGTGTTTATATAGGGGTCCTGTGGTGACTTGTAGTCTGATTGCTAGTATATTTGTGGCTCCGGTGCCTGAGGGCCACACAGACGCCCATCTCGAGAGGCTGACCTGTGAATGTCCCTCCGTCAGCCTGCTAAGAGCCTTATGAATCTTTAATATCATTCCCCCGCAGGGTTAATATGAGCTGCAGCTCACAGTAGGAGATTTCTCTGTTGTTGTTGTTTATTGTTCATTAATTTGTCCTGTCCTCGCGGATCTGTTTGTGAGCGCGTGTCTGTAGGCTACGGCTTGTTCACCCACAGGAGAGGGTTACTGTGCGTTATCAGAGTGCCATTTTGTCATTTCTCACCCTTTATGAAAGATTTTTTAGCAGCCTGTTCAAGGCCGCAGGGACGGAGGCTGTAATAGAGGGATGAATCACAGCTGAATTACTCCAGTGCCACTTTTTATTGGGACTGTGATGGGTTTTTGTGTATGGTGTATTCTTTAGAGCTCTATGTGTGTGCGCTTTGAGAGAACTGAGCTTCGATTGATTGTTATTGGTTGTAGAAGAAATTAAAATTCATTAATTTGTGCATTAAAATTGTGTTGTAAATGTAAATCCAAACCAAAGATTCAACATTAAACTCACAAAGAAATTTCAGCCTTCACTTAAATATACTATATACTTAAATTACACTCATTTTCAATAGAATTACATGAGTATAATACGAATAATAATAACATTAGCTCTGTTTCATCACTCTGTTTTTATGCGCATTTTCAAGAATCTCATCAGAAATGAGTGATGGAAGCACCAAATTTCTGAAAAAAAAATCCGATTTTTTTTTTTTACACTCGCTTGAGGTGGTTTTTGACTTGTGTGAAAAAGGGTTAATGCTGATATTGCATTATAATTACATTAATTGCATTATAATGCTTAGTGATATTTAGTGCCAGTTTATCAGGAAGTGATGATTTTCTCTTTGACTCGTTGGATGGAAACGGTGCTTATTTGCAAAAGTTTTGTGCGATATTCCAATTTTTGCGCATCAATTAAATTCGCAAATTTGGATGGAAACCCGGCTATTGTTTTTCTCCTCATTACAGAAATAAGAATGAGATTTAACATTGCTGCTGTATTGAATATCGATTAATAGCCAGTGATGTAAATATGCATAAGCATACATATTTACTTTGTGCAGAATATAATTTATACAGTATATATATATATATTTTTTTTACAAGATTTTTTCTCCCCATTCACATTAAAAGCAAAATAGGTCTCATTATCCTCAATTTCCCTCAGAAGCACACACACACAACTTAATGGTTACTAAAGATATCTCAATTTGACTATGGGTTAGTAAAGATATTTGATACTAAGTGTTATACTACACTCTTAGGATTTCGTGGAGATGCCATAACCACCATAACCATTTGGTTTCCCCAAAGAACCTTTCACTAAGCAGCTGTTAAAAGAGCCAGTGTCCTAACATCTGTATTCTACATTAAGCAAGGGGCTCCATCCTGGTGGGCAGCTATGGCATGCAATAGTTAATAAACAACAATGACATACATCCACACCAACAGATGTCAGTAAGACAACTGTCAGAGAAGGCAAATGAGAGCCAACTTGCACAGCGTTGTCTTTAAGCAAAAACACCAAAGAAGTTTCCCATAATGTATGCATACTTCGTTATCAAAATTTATGTTTAAAGTAGTTTGTACCTTCCTGCAAGTTTCTCATTATATCAAACCAGTATTTTGTCATTTTTTTTTACAGGCAGACTGGGGCAAGTGAATTCCCAGAAGTTGAGTCAGAGAAAGATCAGCCAATCAGATTTGCTAAAAAGTGATTAATGAGTGATTCAGGTTATAATTCCTTCAAACAATTCATTCAAGTCTTTATGAATGGATTATTGAATCATTGACTTGACATTGACATCATTGGAACAAAACACCATAGTGTTGCTTTGAGATGTGCAAATGTTCAGACAATATGTTAAGTGTAACACACTCAATATTAAATTGTTTTGAACTGTTGTATCACATTTATATCACATTGGCAGCCACACTCATGTACCAATATTTAGGAAAATGTCACTCTTGCTTGTGTGATATTATATCATATCTTATACATATAAAAAACAAAAACCCATACGGGGATATTTTTTGCAATTCAATTATAGACTATGATACGATAAATTACAATATTGTATCGTACATGATAAATATCGCACACTCCTAACTGGACCTTCTGGTTTGCCATTTTGTGTCCATAATGCATCAGATGGTCAGTGAACAGACTATGGTGGTCCATGAGTACACCATCTGAGATGTAAAACATAAACATAAAATTGCTTAGAGCAACTTAAAAAAAAAGAAGAAGCCTTATTTCATGTATAAATGCGAATAATTCTTTCCTTGTAGAAACCATCTTGATCGGATAATCTGAGGTAATAATAGATGTTGTGACAAGGTAGTGGACTCCTGAATTTAGACCTCTGGGGAATGTAGACACCTGAAAGAATTATTTACAGGAAATACAGCCTCTCATCTCAGCGACTTCCACAGCTCTCTGCCTAGAGGGAGTTCCACAGTGGGAACCGCAGGTGACAGATAGCCAATAAAAGAGTGTGATTATGGCGCTGGAGCTGTTAAAGGAGTTTGATAGCAGAGACTTTTTTTTTTTTCTCCAAATGAGCTTTCATGAATTTCAGGATTAGGCCTGAAACACTCTTTGTAGACAGAAATGCTTGGCCAATGCATTGCAAGCACGCAGTCTTACTTAACATGTTCTGACATACTGAAAATTGAGCCTTAGTAAAAAAAAAAAAAAAACTATAAGTTCATGTACTTGTATATGTAATCGTTTCCTCTTGGCTCATTCTGTGGGGGTTTGAACTGGCGGTAGCCAGGGAGTCTGGCTTGCTAACGAGGATGCTAAAGACCACACCCAATAGCATGCCTCTTGTAGCCAGGAGAGTGAGATTTACCTGCACAACTGTTTTGTGCTGGCCTCCCCTATCTGGGTCACACTGTACAGCACCACTGTAACTCGTTCCACATGGTCCACTTCGAGCAGAGCTCAAATTGGATGGGAGTTGGGCACGCTAATGAGGATGCTAATGGGACTGAAGTTTACCAAGGGATTGACGTTTACCTGCACAGCTATCTCAAACCAGATGGCCTCTATTACACTCATATCCATCTGGGTCATGGCACCACTTTATTTAATCAGTTCTACACATTCCGGTTTAAGCCCAGTTACTGGCTTCGAAGTTGGATGTACTTGGAAGTGTTGCTAACGTACTTCTACAGGCCACAGGCCTCCATTATGTCAGACTTTGTCAACCTATTTGTGACATACAGTTATGTATGCATTAACCCAGATGCAAAGCGGGTAGTCGCATTCAATTACGTTAACATTGCATTCTTGCGGCGCTAACAAACGTCACTTTTCAAGGGGGTCAAAGTGTTCAAATGCCACGCATCTCACCTCCCGAGGATTGCAATCCGGCCAGAGATGCTCAAAATCAAGCTTGGGAAGCTAAAAGTGTCTACTTTCACATACTTGCATATGTTTATCTTTCTTCTACTGTAAATGTCTATCAGTAAAGTCTTTGTCTCTGTCTCTCTAGATGCTGCATAATAAACATGTGATGGTGCGAGTTGGCGGAGGCTGGGAGACGTTCGAGAGCTACCTGCTGAAGCATGACCCCTGTCGCATGCTCCAGATCTCTCGTGTAGAAGGCAAGATCTCGCCCATCTCCGGCAAATCTCCCAACATCAAAGACCTCGCGCCCGACAGCTACCTGGTAGTGGCGGCCCACTACAAAAGCAAGAAGTAAAGAAGAAATGTACTAAAGAAACAATGACTTTTAACGTAACTTTGAAGCACAGCTCACTGGCTAGCCGTTGTAGATGCCACAAGGACACATGGACTTCTACTGGCTTCTAGAACTAAAATTTCAAAGAGAAAAACAAATCATAATACATAAATAACATTTTAGATCAATTAGTTTGTGCATAACAAAGATACTGAACTGGAATCCAGAAACAAGGCTGTTTTATTGTATACCAAATTCTTACATTTCTTTTCTTTTTAGCCTCTTATTGTTTAATTGATTAAATATAAATTGCATAATAACCTTTTATATTCAATAGTGTCTATATGGAATGAAATCGCTGGATGAATTGAAGTATTTACTTCTACCCTGGTGGCTATTCTTTTTAGTGCTTCTAATACTAACAATATTAATGACTTTTTTTGGGAGTATTATTATGCTCTTTTGATGTCATGATATATATATTTTCTGACATTTATTGTATTACACTGTGCTCACCTTGCTCTGTTGGAGAATGTAATCTGTTCATGCCCAGTGTTGGGGGTAATGCATTACAAGTAAAGCAAGTTAGTATCAATTACTTTTTCACATAACTAGTAAAGTAATGCATTACTTTTAAAGTTACTTTTTCAGATAAGTAACGCAAGTTACTTTGTTTTCCTAATTATTCTCTGACATCTCTCCTGTCTCGTGTTGAGAGAAATTGTGAGGTGCAGAGGCAGAGGCACTTCCTTTAATTTGACTTTTGGTGTGAAAGGGCCATTAGAGTTGGCAAAAAATATAACTTTTGGGTTGAGAAGCAAGCCCAGCCCAAAATGTAGTGCATTCATTTCCATTAAAAGTAACTAAGTAATGCAATATTGTAATGCATTCGTTTTAAAAGTAACTTTCCCCAACACTGTTCATGCCAAACATCAGAACAGGATGACATGTGATGGAAGCGACTATGACAGTAGAGCAGTGGTTGGAATATGAGAAACTGCTGATCTCCTGGGATCATCCAGTGAGCCACAGTTCTGTATAAGGTCAAGGGAGAATGGCTTGACCTTGGATCACAACAGTGTAAAGCAGAACATGTCTGGATGAACATCACATCAATTTCTGGAAGTCAGCAAAGAAAAGAAAACTCATAACATCACTTCAGTGTGATCTCCAGAATTTGTAAGGATTTTTTCCCCAGCACTTTGCTGAATCGAGGTGTGACTAATAAAGTGAGCACTGTGTGTGTTATTTGCAGTATAATAATAGTGCACTGAAGAGGCCAGAGTTCATCAGTTACAAGGCAAAGGAGATTTTTCAGTGAACAAATGATTGGTTGTTCAATCAAACACAATCTTTATTTAAGCAATGACTCCGCAGATGTGCTTCTAAAACAGTTCCTGATCCGAAAGTGTGCCGCTGCCCTCTACTGGTAAACATGAACATTGCAATACTTTGTCTGATTTGTTATATTATTGTTATACAGTGTCTGATGTTGATAACCCATTCTGAATGAAACCTGGGAAGATATTTCAGTTGATTATTTGCTGCAAAAATCTGTTTCCCTGCCACAAGCAGTGAGTGTGTTGCTGTAGGAAGAGGTAACAACTCATGAGCATAACAATAATAAAAGAAATGCGTTAAAGGCAATATGATGAGTTTCTATAGATACAATATATTCCACACTAAGCACTATAGCTCAGGCTGCTACAGTCACTGCTGCATGGCCCAGAAACATGGATGTTACGTTTGAATGCAGTAAGTTAAGATTTTCTTAGCTGACGACAACCAAAGCCCTTCGGAAAAGGGTGAGAAATCAATGCGTCTCATGAGATAAAGTGATGCACATTCAATTTGGTTCATAAGAACAGCAAGTCATACAATCAACAGGCAGTGAAAGTGCTAACTGACATAATATCCATTATTATTATACTTCAAGTCCTGACCAATCGCAAAATGCACAGGTAACTGATGCATAAATATAAATGCCTAAATATGTATTAAATTATACAAAATCCAATATAAAATATGCTTTTCAGTTGTATAAATGTGTATTAAAATGACATTCAGATCTCAGATTAGAGGATTCCATTAATGTTAAAAATAGAAAGCACATCGGTACAAAAGCTGCGTGTCTGAAATGATGCATGAACACAAACTGAGCATGTGTGTGTGTGTGTGGGGGACATGAATTGCTAAAGTCCCAAAAACCCACTAGCAAGCCCATCTTGGCATTTAAAGGGGTGTGGCCTAAATGCACTCTGGCCAATCAGAAGGCCTGGAGGATGAGGAGTTTTGTGCAGGAGCTCGGCAAAAATTCTAGTCTCTATGCAAACTCCCCTGGCTAGTGTACACTTCAAAATAAGAACCGAAAGAATGAAGAGTTTTAAGAATCTCTCAAGTCAGTGGGAAATACTGCAGATGAAGGTTGACCCCCGATGTAAACACACCAGCGATCTTCCCTTTAGCCTGTGTTAGCCAACCTGCCACTGTAGAGAAAGAGAGAGAGAGAGAAAAATTGGGACCTATCATGTGCAATACAAAACTAATCATAACGGTCTTCACGAGTTTAGGGAATTAACATCAAATATCAATGAAAGACGATACCTAACCTTTAGGAAATGTAGTCCAGCTCAGAGGGTCAAGCCAAATATTATATGAAATAAATACTATTTATTTTCTATGAGGTTTGCAGTTTTGCAAGTTTGTCATCTGTACCTACATTCAACTCTAATGGTCCTATAAAATGCCTGTTCTGTTGTTGTTGTTTATTTGCTATATGTTTAGATAAAACCTATCAATTACTTTATGTAATAAATAAATATATTTTTTTTTAATGTTTTGTTTAAAAAGTCTGCATTTGTTTGATCAATATAATTAAAATGTAAATGTTAATTTGATTAAATACTATTAACATTTAAAATAACTGTTATTATAATAACTGAATAACTAACTTATTATCCATATCTTATATGTTGAAATCAGGTGTGCTGCATATTTTTATTTTTTTATTTTTTGGAAACTATAATACTTGTTTTCAGGATTCTTTGATTAATAAAGCACATTTATTTAAAATCGTTTGTAACATAAGTAAACATCTTTACAGTCACTTTTAATAAATTTCATGCATGCTTGCTGAATGAAAACAAAATTCTGATTTTAAATATTAAAAATATGCATATTACTGACCCTGAATATTTGAATGGTAGTTGATTTTTTTGTCCCCTCTCTTTTTGTTTGTTTTTTTGAAGTGATACTGATTCATGCATTAAAATGGAATTATAACTGTATTTTGTATTTAAAAAATATATATAAACATATGCATATTACTGACCCTGAATATTTGAATGGTAGTTGATTTTTTTGTCCCCTCTCTTTTTGTTTGTTTTTTGAAGTGATACTGATTCATGCATTAAAATGGAATTATAACTGTATTTTGTATTTAAAAAATATATATAAATTCACAGGTCATGACCTCTGATGTGGGACATCTGATACTGACTTTTGATTAAAAAAAATACCTATTATCATGCTAGATGAAAGTTACTCTAAATATCTTTATTACATAATACATATTAAATAATAGTAATAATAATGGGACAAGAATTTGTCCTCTATTTGTGTAAATAATAACAATGAAAATAATGTATGTACCTTTAGCCCACCGCCTCCAGAAGGTACAGAGTTCATGGTCTGTTTCTCTGTCTCTTCTTGTTTCTTCTTTTTCCTCTCCAAGGCTTCGGGGTCTTTGATACCTCTGTAGGTGGTCTACACACAGATCAGACGAAATACAGCTACCACACCATATATTTCAGAGATAAATCCAAACATGAACCAGTCCAGTAGTTGCAGAGCGTGATATTATTCAGTGCTCATGTGCCGAATCATAGTGCACCATAAACAAGCTGGAAATGTGAGTACAGAGTGTGCAAAAACGAAAACACTGAAATACAACAACTAGCCGATCAAAAGAAATAATCATATTGTATCAGACTGTATGGCTACAAGCACTGTGACATTACAGCAGCAGTGAGAACCGGGCTCATTCTGACATGACCTCACAGATGTCTGTCATGGTGTTTCAGCCGTAGTGTTTGAGGAGACAGCAGAACGAGGACGTGTACTTACCTCTGCGCTTTGCCTTAAACCTCAAAGAGACAGTAAAACAGCCCAGCAATCACATGTGGGCAAATTAAAAGCACTATTGCATACAACACTCGTTTTTTTTAAAAAAAGGATCATGTTCTCCTAACAGTTATTTGTTGCCTTGAAAAAAACTGAAGAATGACTAAAAGCACAAAAATGTAGAGCAGGAAGCTGTGATGCTCATACAGTTATCATAAAGTGATACCTATAGATTACAGTATTGAATATATGTTCTGTGGTGCTGCTAAGACTGAGTCCAGTTACATAATCGATGCTATGAATTTGATCATTTGTGGATCATCAGTGGCCACCAACTCAGGTCATCATAATCGCTCAAATCCTGAGTTTGTCCTGATCCAGAAATAATAATGGCTCAAAATCCCCACCAATATTTTATAAACGGGGTATTTCAAGTTCATTTTCAAGGTCATGCTCAGCTTAAAATAAAGTGTTTATCTAACAACAGCTCTTTTCTAAGGTGCTTGCAAAACGTATTTGTGCTTGTCTATTTCACAATATAGAAACTAAACTAAACTAAACAGCCATTAAAGGGGTCATATGATGCGATTTCAAGTTTTCCTTTCTCTTTGACCATTTCTGTGTGTAATGCTGTCAGACATCAGTGTCACATCACCTCTTTCTGTCTCTTCTCTGCAGCCTCTGCTAGCTGTCTTCTCCTCGTCTCCTGTGGAAAAGATGAGAAATGTTTTGCTCAATATATATATATATATATATATAAAAATGGGTGTAAAAACACCCATACATAAGCAAAAGAAACAACTGAATGAATACACTAAAAAGTATATATTAAAAATATAATAAAATAATGATTTAAAAATATATATTACTTAAAAAAGTAATAATTAACTGAATAAAATAAAATGGAAAACAATGACCAGCCAGGGAAGTGGACTAATACTCATGTCACCAGAATATTTATTTCTTGTCATTATTACCAGTTAACCAATGAGAATAAAAAATAAAAAAAAGAAGATATATTTCATGTTGAAAGGGTTAGTAGCCTAATAGCAAATAATAGGCTATATTTTAAATAACGATTTGGCAACAATCAGTGGGTTTAAATCAATGAGAGTATAAATCACACCAACTACATTTCAGAATTTTTCCACAATAAACAAATACATGTATTAATAACGTTTTATCATTAAGGTTTCATTTATAATGTCACGGGAAGCCATTCCGACCTCATTATTTGACGTACGGTTGTGTTCGGCTGTAAAATGAACAGACTGTAACATGATTGGAAATGCCCTGTCAGGAAAGTCTAACATTTGAAATATGAACACAGTTAAAGATGTAAAGCAGATTAATGCATAGATAAATGTATTACAGTACTCACAGGGTCTGGTGTGACTACTACATCATCCTTAGCTCCACTCAGACAGGGTAGACACATCCCCATACTGATGTTTAACGAAGCACAGGCACAAATAAAACTCCTTTCAGCCAAATGAGAGTAAAACTGAGCACCTATGATGAGCCAGGCCGCTGAGATGATGTCTCTAACAGTCTAACAGCGTCTATATGCTGCTATAAACCCTCTATGAAAGCTGCTTGAACCGAACTAGCAATGTAAACAAAGCCAGCTACCGCTACCGCCAAATAACCTTTACCACACTAACAGACTAATGTAACCTTCCGCGAACCTCTTTCTCACGCCTCCCGACATCTGTTTTTGGTTTTGCTGTATAAATATAATGTACTACCTCAGCTGACAGTGTATCTGTCAGAATGACAGCACTACAGCTCCGTTCTGTTAGTCGAGGGAAGTGAAGCTCAACAGCGCCATGCTGCCGTATGGAAGGCAAATTACTGTACTACTGTAGCGATGGGTCACATGGTAACTGTTAGCTCAGTAGTAGGCTACCATTGTACTTTACAACTGTACCATGGTCCTGAATGATCACCGTGATAGTTCAAAGAACACAATGGGAATACCACAGCAACATGTTCGAAAATATGTTTGTCAGTAGTAACTGCTGGATATTTGTGGATATAGTTTGTGAAAAGACTTGTAATAATCTGAGATAACATGTAGGCGTATAGCATGGAAACTAACACAATTGTATTATAGTTATTGCATAGTAATCGTCGTGTAAATAAATAAAAATAAATAAATAAACATAACATGATTACCCAGTTATATAGCCTATGAAGTTACAAAGAACATGGTACATTTTCAAAGCTAAAAAAAAAAAAAACACTTTTGCATTTATTTTATGTATGTATTTATTTTATTATGGCATATTTAACCAATCAAATGCAGTTTCTTACTGTATGTTGACACAACATCAGACCCCATGGACGAAAAGTAGATGATATACAGTGCCTTGCGAAAGTATTCATAGTACCCCTTCATTCTGTTGTTAAACTGCTTTAAATTACTTTTTTTCTACACTCCATACACCATGGCAAAGCAAAAAACAGGGTTTTATAACATCTTTGCAAATGTATTAAAAATACAAATCTTAAAAGATTCCATTGCATAAGTATTCATACCCTTATCTGTAGTCAATGTGATATGTGCAAAATTTGAGGTGAAATGTTCGCTTTTTCATAAAAGCATGAAACTTGCTATACTTGTATAGTTTGTGGCCCTGAACATTTTCAGAAATGGAGCCATCCCCAAACGGCAGACGGCAATGCAATCTTGCTAACCTGCGTTCTATGTGCACCTCTTCTGCTGCACCTCTCTCTTTTTCTGTGGGTTTCTGCAATTGTCAGTATATACCAGAGGTGTAAAGAGTACCTAAAATCCATACTTGAGTAAAAGTACAGATACCTTACAGTGAAAATTACTCCACTACACGTTACAAGTCACCAATTCCAAAACAACTTGAGTAAAAGTCTTAGAGTATCTGATTTTAATAGTACTTAAGTATCTTACTAAATATAGGCTAAAAAAAATGCACTAGTCAAAAGCCCTATTCGCACGGGATTAGTATTATCTGGGGACCTTGTGTGATTTTGAAATTAACCCCCCACCTCTGAATTAAGTGTGGTGCATTCGCACGGGATAAGCGAAGCCTGTGATTTTACTCGAATTTACCGACTTATCTACCGGATACCCGGATGTCAAGGCTTTGAGAGTCCCGTTCTATGGTCCAGATGGATTAAAAAAAAAGAAAAGAAATTAATATAGTTTCGTGCCCTGTGATATTTACATTTCACCAGGTTAAAATAGTATCTCAAGCTTTATGCTTGATTTATTTGTAACACATTAACCTCAAAACCTTTTCAGCCTTTTCTTTCTACAAATTGTATGGTGCAGCGATATAACAGCACTCAAAATACTATCAAACACTCCAACGCAGCTCCATTCTTCGCGGCAAACAAAAACCTCGAAAAATTATATACGACCTGCCAAATGCTGGCCGAATCACAGAAATGCCGATTCGCACGGGACTAATATTATCACAGGACCTCGGTGTTCTGCGAAATATGGTAGGTCTTTTGCGGGGGAATTTTTACTTTACAAATTACAGACATGGCCGATTCGCACGGGATTAAGATCACAGACAACACAATTATTACAAATGACTGGAGGTCACCAGGTAATACTAAGCCCGTGCGAATAGGGCTAAAGATATGCCAGTGAAAAATTGTAATGTTGAGGAGAAGCTGGGGGAAAAGGGAGAGGCAAGGATCTATGTGCATGGTATTTAATGGAAAAACTAGAACAAACAATAAGCCAAAAACCAAAGGGAACAAAGAACAGAAT